GGTGATATTTTGACCCCATCTATACATTCCCGAGAGGAAAAGAGGAAGTCCAGGGACACCATGTATACCCTGATGTTTGAATTTTTCGAGGTAATGCTGCGAAAGTATATGAGTATAGAGGTTTTTGGGACTTGTTTGCAGTGACAAAAAACTTGCTAAATCAGTTCTCTCAGCACAAAAAATTTACCATTTGTTCAAATAAAGATACACCTTGCACTCTCTTTAGGAAAGCCTTCTGCTTGCGGCAGCTTGATGCAGTGATCTACCGCTCCTTTCAACTCCTCAACTTTCAGGAACTGATGAAATTCTTGGAATATTTCCTTCAACTCTTTCACAAATCTAAGAATCCACGCAGGATTCCTGATGAGTCCGGTGAAGGCTTCATATAAATTTTTCCTACGATAATTTCTAGGTCGTTTTCTGTTTTCTCATTTTTCTATTTACAATTCCTACAGGCCAACTTTCATCAGTTTCACTTAAAAATTCAGGTCTAAAAGTCCATTGTTTTGTAAAGACTGCAAATCAACAGGCGACCCTCTACCGTATGTGACCCATATTTCGAATAACACAATCGAGAAACATGGAGAGTCAAGAGCTTTGTGTGACCCTGTGTGGCATGAGGGTTTACTGGCCAAACTTCGATGCCATGGCTTATCGTATCATTTCTGTGTATAGCTCTACAGCTTCCTGAAAGAACGTTCCCTGAAAGTGGCCGTCGCTGGTTATCTCTCGAATACTTTTAGCATCAACTCTGGTGTTCCCCAAAGATCCATATTGTCTCCAATCCTCTTTTTATTGTATAACAACCAACGGCTCATTGGAAAAAACCGAGAATCAAATATATTGCTTTGCTGACGACAGTACACTTGTTTCCATTCTATTTCCATTCCATTTTGATTCCAGGTCATCTGCGGTGGATAGATATCTTCACCGGCAGCACGATATTGCATATCTTAATGAGGATCCACAAGTTATTGCCAATTAGGGTGAAAGTAACCAGGTTCAATTCAATTCCACAAAAACCGAGGCATCGCTTTTCTCCAAAAAGATAAATGTCTCCGAACCGGATACAATAATGTCATGTCCGACAATTCAACATTCTGCTTCAATAAGTTTGGGGGAGGGGGGTTAAAATGGACACCAATATGTCTTGTCCTAAGTCTTTCGTTTTAAACTGACTTGACAACAACTGTCAGGAATATACCTGTAAGCGCTTGTNCTATGGGTGGTATTACTGATTACCTACCTGTATGATGTACCTGATTAGTATAAGTAGCTTTGGTTTTGAGTAGTTATTAGTTTTATCTTCCTCTTGAAGATGATCACTTGGTGATCGAACCACGTGTCGAGGTGTAAAAATAACGATTTGGTGTTGGGAAAAAACTCCAGTAATATTCATTACTACATCAAAGGTTCCAAACAGTATATCACAAGTACATACCTATCTGGTCGCCCTCTTTGCCTCATACGCTCCTTTTTTTTTCAGCTACTGTAACTACACTTTCATCACTAGAGAAGGAGATCTCTTCCTTCATCAGGAATATAGGTTTCATCCCCATCATAATACTCCTCACTGTCAGTGTCAGTGTAATCTGATATACCCCGCCCCCCGGAATCTGGATGCACTTCAGAGGATTCAATCTGTGATTGTAATTTTTTGATGTGAACTGGACTTTCTACCTCGGTAAGTTTTTCAATAATGATGACATCACGGCTGGTTGTGATTACTTTTTACAACCTTTTACATCCTCTGGATAGCCTACTAGTAAGATATTTAGCCTACTAGTAAGCCCTTCTCAGCTTTCTTAACTCATTTTAGTCTATTTTTTAGAATATGCATCACTACTATGCTTCCGAAGACCCTCATACGGCTTATATTTGGTTTTCCCGATATCCACATGGAGTTTTCTTGTTTGGAGCTGTAAGCTTGAAAATGTCCGTATACAGAAATTTTCAAACCTATACAATAAACTTTATTGTATGAGTTTGCAAATAGGATGAAACTACAGTAAAGTTAGTTACAAATAAAAGTGGTAAAAAACATAGAAAGTTTCATTTCTCTCCTCTTCAATACCAAATCATTAGTTCTGCCCACACCACAGAAACTGTTACCGAAAACTCAATTCCGGAACTGAGTTTTAACATGGAAGAACTTCAAAAGGCAATGAAAGATGTCAAGTCAATTCTGAACCAGGAAAGCTCTCCATGAAGCCGCCCCAGTTCGACGGTAAAACTCGTTAGGCAAATTACCGCCGCCGTCAATTCGAAGCTGCGGCCAGAGCGAATGTATGGAATGCAGGAAAAAGGCGGTAGCATTAACCCTGTCGTTGCGTGGAGAAGAAACTAATATTTTGCATATCCTCACGGCCCACGAACAGGAAGACTATGATCAACTTAAAAAGCATCTTGAGCTATGGTGTGGGCAGGCCACCTAGAGCACGTCTACCATTCACCGCTGCCAAAAATCAGGAGAATCTCTACAGGAATTTGAAGCCGACATTGCTCGATTTGTTAGTCTGGAAAATGTATTGGAGCGGTTAGCAGTCCAGGCATTCTAGGACAAACTTCGGTACCAAGAAACGAGGCAGGCCTTGACACTAGCTCATCTCTAACATCTCGTGGATGCACTGGCAAGCGCCCTGGAGTTTGAGACTGTAAAACAATCCTGCAAGAGCAAGGGCAAAGTTCGAAATATCGAGGAAGATTGGCAGATGCCCGCTGATATTGAGACCACCATTAGAAAGGTAATGAAAGAAGCGCTGCCTGAGAGAAAAACAAATAAAATGCTGGAACTGTGGAAAAATTGGGCATGTGCGAAGAAAATGTCTAGCATCAACACCAAATAATCAACACCATATCAGAAAAACTAGGGGGAGTCGATGAGAAGGGGCAATCGTCGGCCTATAGTCAGCAAGCCCCCGTAAAAAACGCATATGTTGCCGTTCTCTAACCTAAGACAAAGGTGTTTTTGTAGACAGCCTCATCATTAACGAGCTTTGCATCATGCTGCTAGCTACAGGTGCGACAAGAACCATTCTTGAGCCAACCTTTGCCAAAACACCGGCAAGAGTTGAACCTTCAAGTTGTCAGTTACGCACTGCAACAGGGGTAGGTAGGAAGGTAGGTCTAAAGTGAGTGGGTCTATTCGACCCTCCACCGCAACCCTATAAGGATTTATTGTGGCTCACACCTATCCACACTCGGCCAAATAAACGCAGCTTCTTAACGAAGCCGATTAGTTTGTATGGTGAGTGGTCTTTCAAGTCAGATGGTGAGAGTACGGATCTGCCGAACTCAAAGAACCTGATTCGATCCGGCACACACTGTCTTCCAACAGTCCAAGTCTCTGCATGTGATAATTCAAATGACATTGACCTGTAAGAAGGCCTGTTAGACATCATAGTTCATTCCTACTGTAGTCCAACAACTGTTTGGAATCAAGCTTCGAAGGGTGAATAAACGCCTTGGAGTGAGCCAATCCTGGAAGATTCTGTCAGAAGTCCATAACTCTTCTTGTCATCCAGGTATTGAGTGTTTGTTTGGCAAAGCCCAAAGCGATGCCAATGGTAGGTTCTGGTCCAATGAAGCCGCTTGCAGTACCCTCCTTTGCGAGAGACTCAGCAGATTCATTGCCTTTCAGGCCAGTTTGACCAGGAATCCAGATCAGAGACAATCTGTTTAATCTTCTTATCGAGGAGAGTCTTTTTTGGCAGTTTGCTATCAATTTAGACGTTGCTCGGTGGGAGCCAAGACCTTCCAACGCCGCTTGACTGTCCGAGAATATTTTTATTGACTTGTGAGTGAGGTTGGATTTATCCAATCTCTCCGCACAGAATTCAATAGCGTAAATTTCCGCTTGAAATACAGTCGCATAAGTTCCTAGGCAGATAGATAACTCTGTCCTGGGTCTGCGACTGATCTAGCCTCTCTTTCCAGAAAAATGTGGAGAGGAGGTAGATCTACAAGGATCTCCATGGATCTCCATGTAGTACTGATAGCCAGACAAGCCTGTCTCTGTAAGCCAGGGAGCTTCGCTTGGGCCGTTTTCTGTAAAGCTTTCGGCCACCAAGCAATTGCACCATACGTGATCATTGGTCTGACAATCATCACATAAATCCGATGGATTTGTTTGGGACCTAAACCCCAAGTTTTACTACAAATCCTTCGACATGTTTGTGTAAAACTTTTTCCAAGTGAGCGTTCCAGGTGAGTCTTTTATCAAGGACAATGCCAAGATATTCCTATTCCGTTCCAAATGGAATGACCACACCATTGAGGGAAAGTGGCGTTAAATCGTCTAATATCCTTCTTTTGGTGAAGGGGATTAACACAGTTAACACAGCTGGGGTTGACAGACATCTGCTACGTCAGGCACCAACTGTGAACAAGGTCCAACGAGCTTTGGAGGATATTACAAGCTACCCTTCCCGACGTGGACCTTGCCAGGATGACAAGGTCATCTGCATAAGCTTGCAGATCAACTTTTCTTCTGTCGAGGGCATCAAGCAGACTATTCACCAGGAGCGACCACAGAAGGGGAGATAGTACCCTACCTTGGTGAGCCTGAACCTGATAGCCTCGCTTTGAAGAGTCGTAGTTGCAATTCTGTTCACTAGCATGGCATAGATACAGCCAGTTTATGGTCGATTCTATACCCTTTTTAGCCAGAGACAATCCTATAGATTTACGTAGTGCATTGTCAAATGCTCCTTCAATATCAAGAAATACAGCAACCGTCATCTCCTTGTTGTCAAGGGTTTGGGAGATTTTCTCAACGACGTTGTTTAATTCTGAATCTGTCGATTTGCTGGTTTGATAAGCATACTGGTGGTTATTCAGTGAGGATGCTTATAATGCTACCCCCCTGATATGTCCGTCCAGTATCCTCTCAAGTCCTTTCAGCAGGAAGGATGTAAGCTGATTAGTCGTACCGATTTGGAGTGTGGGTCTCTCCGGCCCACTTTAGGTATATATACCACCCTGTCTGCCAACCAACTGGGTGGTATATAGTTCCACGCCAGACTAGCTTTATACAATTTTGTGAGAATGGGTAAAATTATTTCCAGTCCGTTTTGAAGAAGAGCTGGAAATATACCATCCTCTCTGGGAGATTTGGAGGGCTGAAAAGACTTGATAGCCCATTCAGCGGTGTTGTGATAACCGTAGTGCATCAGGGGAGCCAGCCACTGTATTTGGAGAACTATATAATGGTCCGAGAGCTGCAGCTTCCTTGCGATCTGAAATTTGGGACGACGCCAGAATAAGACACTGCGGAGGAAAACTATGTAAGCAAGCTTCGGCAGAGAATGGACGACTACCATGAACGAGTCCGTCTGAACATCCGGAGTGCCACCGATAGGATGAAGAAGGCCTATGACATCTAGGCGAATGCTGGAGGATTCGAAACCGGTGACCTAGTTTGACTGTACAACCCTAAGCGACGCCGTGGTTTATCACCGAAGTTGCGGAACTCGTGGGAAGGTCCGTACAAAATCATAAAGAAGATGAATGACCTCGTTTACCGAATCCATAAGTCACCTCGAGGAAAGCCTAGGGTCGTCCATTTTAATAGACTGGCTCCTTATGCTGGAAATCACGACCAAGTTCGCTCCCTCAGACCACCGGAAGAGGAAACGATGTTCCAGAAGTTTGTCTTTATAATCGAACGGACAGAAGGTCGTACATGGTGTAACTCAAGAAAAGAAAATATACCTTTTCTAGGTTCCAGTTGATTACGCTCACTGCGTGGCAGAGAATCAATTCGGTCAGCTTCAGACATTACGAGAACAGAATCCAGAAGTCAGAGGAGTGCTACAGTTGAAGAAGGGCCAGAGAAACATTTTCTACTTGGTGACCAAAAAGCATTCTCTAGACAAACCGTCCTATGAAGATGTTTGGAGGAGTCTTACCAGACTGAGGGACACGATGCTCGACCAGAATCTTGTGGACTTGGCAATCCCGAAATTAGCCTCTGGGCTCGACAGGCTGGATTGGAGAATTGTGAGACGTATGTTGGAAATGATATTTAGATCCAGCGGCATCAAGATTTTGGTGTGTGGTAACCATCTTCCACGACCGAGCATGAAGATTGTGGAGTGTTACTTCCATCGAACTTCACAGTGCAGATATGAAGAGTCCTGCAAGTATCGACACACGCCAAGGATGACATTTCAGGGCGAAACGTCTTTGAGAAGGGGGCAATGTAACGAATCTAAAGCCGCCCCTGATCGATATGCCGGCCGACTCGGCGAACAAACACATGACATCATCGCGAAAAAATGCAGTCGGGAATCGCCGGTAAAACTCTAGAACCGAACCGACTACAGATTTCTAGGAGCGTTACCGATATAAGCACATCTTCCCGACCCAAGAGGACAGTTCAGAAAGTGAATCGAGTGGCTAAACAAGAAATTCAAATAGTGGAAATGAATTAAGCGTTAGTTGCTGAGTGTTGTAAATGAATTAGTTTGTGATTAGTGAAATATTGTTGGAAATCAATTTGTTTAGGACAGTTAATTATTTAATTTCTTACACTACAGTCCTATTTTGAGAATACATAGCAGTATTTGCATCTTCGGCCCAAAAACTGCCATCTAGACCAGCGTCAAACAACAGGCATCATGCCTTTTACACCACCGAACGGTTACAACGTTCTGCCAGTCCGTTCTGTTCTGACGTATACAGATTGCCCTTCTGATCAATAATTTCTGAATTGCTAAGATACTTCTCAAATTCTTTACCGCAATATACCTTTCCATTATCTGCACGCAACTTCTTATTTTTCTCATTCAGTTGATTCTTTACTACTGTCTTATAAATTTCAAAACAATCAAGAGAAACAATTGAGAAAGTAGATGTGTATCATGCGGCTATAGTCATCCACAAACAAAATATAATATCTTGAGCCACCACTAGAAACGTTGCTAAATGGCCCACATATATACTGTGAATTAACTGCAGATCATCACTTCTGTTGCCATCCTGTGGAAAAGGCAATCTACTCTAGTTGCCTTCGTAACACACTCAACAAACTGAT